TTTATTTTATAACAAAACCTAAGTAAATCAAATTAAAATTAAATAAACACTTAATACAATTATTTGCACACATATATCAAAATATTTAAAACAGGTAAAATCAAACAAAACAAAAATCACGAACAAAGATGCCTATTTATGATTTTCCATTTTAGCAACCGGATTACGGTTCAAATTACGCATGACACATACATTTTTTTGTATTTTGTTTTAATAAAATAAAATGGGCAAAAATCGTAAATAATTAACAAAGTGCCATGTAAAAATCCAAAAATTGTACAGCAGGACCAATTGTTATTACTTTTTATTTCTTTTGGAGCGATTGTCGCGCTAAACAAAAATTACGTGCTCACACCCCCTATGCTCCTTTGGTAGCCATTTCAAATTAGTTTTATTTGCTTTCCTTTATTCCTTCTTCTCTTTGGCTGTTCTTTGAACTCCTCTTCCATTTCCTGATTTTCCTTCAACTAACATTCATTTGAATTATGTCCAAATCTGATGCATTCACAACAAAATTTAGGCTTCCAATCATATTCAATCTGTTGGTTGAATTACCCCCTTTGGAGTTTTCATTTCAAAACTATCAGGTAGAGGATGTGAAACATCAGCTTCAACAAGTACTCTTGCGTATGATACCTTCTCCATTTTAGTAGTAATTCTGTCCGTGTAGAGAGGTTTCCCAACAACACTTGCCAATTTGCTCAAAGCTTCTATGGACCAAAAACCCAGTGGAAGCCCAGGAAATTTGATCCATAGAGGAATAACACTCACACACCCTGGGTCAAACTTAAAATCCATGCTCCAATGCTGTAGAATGAGTGGTTTATTGTGGTAAGTATATGGCCCAGCTTGTAAAACCAGATCCCTCTCCTCAATGTTTTGGAATCTAAAAATATAATATCCTTCATCATGATAAAGGATTTGGGGATTTTCTACGAAATTCCAAACATTAGTCACATAATTGTCCATTGATTTCTCATAAGGGTTATCACCCAAAACATAACCAATCAGAACTGTACTCCAGTAAATTTCATGTTCCCTTGTGTCTTCTGCCTCAATTTGCACAATAAATGTACCTTCTCGTATAATAGGAGGGGAATAGTTCAAAGCCTTACCCCTTTGCGAGCTTCGATTCTTCTGCATGGTAGATACTTCATCCTTATTTCCAATTTTCTCTGAAGGTGCCATTGCTGGAGGAATCTGCACAGAATTTCCTGTTGCTGAAAATTGCAATCATCGATGAACTAACGATTCCTCCATTTTCTCCATCGTCACAGAGTTAGATTTTATGGTTTTTTCCCCTTCACACTCAATTTCCTCCATAATTGGTTGAAATTTTTGTGGTAAAAAACTTCCAAACGTCAATGGCAGCAGTTTCTGCTGAATTCTGGTGTCCGGTGTAATTGTCGCTCCGTCAATTTCCACACCTTGAGCTGGGCTGTGAAAAATAGTGGGTGCACTTCCCATACCCGTTAACCATCGCTCAGGTTGAGATTAAGCAGGTGTTTCCATATTTCCTTTGTTATCGTTAGCGTACGACGGTGATGGAAGCTTCTTTCTTTGTCTAGGCATGGCGGAGGCGTATGTTACCTAAACCTCGCTAAACATGCGCCTGCAGAGCCAGATTTTCTCTCTACAGTTTACTTTTACAGGGTATTGTTCTTTGTTAAAGGAAAAAAATAAAACATTATGTAACACATAAAAGTTTTAAAGTATATATTTCATGCATGTACTATAGAAAATAATTATTTAAAATAAAAGTATTTTTATAAAATGCATTATATATTCTTCATAATTGTGCTCAATTATATTATTATTCCGACATTATATATACTAGAGAAATAATTTTTTATTTTAAATATAATTTATTTGTTCTAAGGTAAGTCCTTAATGGAGAACTCGTAACGAGATGAACGACACCCCACCACCGGAACTACCAGACATTTGTTCCATGCACATCGATACACCTCCCACTCCAAACCCAAGCTTTGCCAATCCTCTACCACTCACCTTTGCACAAACCTTACTGACCAACAACCAATTCACCCCTTACCCCAATACATGTCACCAAACTCACTCACATATTGATCTAACCGATGAAACAACAAATAACCTCCACCAAGACACTTTCATACCACTCACATCTACTGATAAATCATGCCTCTACTCCCCATGAAAATTCTCTGTCATCGTCAAAGTCTTTGGAAGAAAACTTGGGAATCAAACTCTACGGTCTAAATTACATGCATTATGGAAGCCCACAGAAGATCTACCCTTAATAGATTTAGGGTGTGATTTCTTCTTAGTTAAGTTCTAGAAGGAAGAAAATATGCTCAATGCCTTACACAATGTCCCTTGGTTTATATTCAACCACTTTTTGTCCTTGTGCAAATGGGAACCAAAATTTATAGCCTACAACACCCAACTCACCTACACAACTATTTATTTAAGATTACCCGAATTACTTACAGAGTTCTAAGACTTTGAAATACTTCAACGAGTGGGGGAAAAAATTGGATCCCTCCTCAAAATTAATACATGCTCATCGGCAACTACAAGAGGCCGCTATGCACAAATATGTATCGAAGTTCCTTTAGAGATGCCCCTCAAAACACATTTGTACATAGGTACACATAGACAACAAATACTTTATGAGGGGCTCAATATGCTATGAACTCTATATGGTAGACTTGACCACACTAAACTTTTCTACTCATCTCCACCAACTTCTCCAGCATCAAATACCAACAATTTGCACACCGCTCCATCAAATGAATTCCTCCCCACACACACAACACATGACACTATACAGGAACAATCCAAACATCCTACTGTTGCGCCCCCTTTTCCTCCCTTTTTACGGGGAAGAAGTCCGGGTTTCGACATTCATGGGGTGTAATGACTCATTTCCCTTTTGGGAATTGGGTATTTGAAGAGTCGCCACCTAACGGATTATGGAGCATTAGGGTACCTAGAGCGATTAACTCTTGGTTTGGTTTGCATTACCAAAGATTAGGGTAAGGGCTCGAAGTAACCTCGAGGGGAAGGTGTTAGGCACCCTTCTTGGTCTACAACTGTGGGTCCAGGACGAACTCATATTCACAAATTAGTCCATTACAAGTAAACAGCTGAATCAAATAGGTTGCAAGTAAAGCATGTTAGAATGACTCAAGTAGTAAGATAAAGGTTTGGACAAGTTGTAAAACAAAGGTTTAAATAAAGAAGGAATTTGGTAAAGTGGGGTCCTAAGTTAGTTATTCTATAGGATCACCCCATACAATGTCCGGTAAACACTCCTCAATGAGGGGCTACACGTGACATTAGCGTGTAGTCATCATATCACATATCTACTCTTCCCATTCCCTTATTGGTCATACAAAGCGAGTGTTTGGTCAACAATTTCTATTGTGTACTGCTACCCGTCCCCTCTTAATGGTCCTGGAGGGAGTTAAGACCTCTACCTATATGTGGTTCTAGACGTACCCCTAAGGTATTTAAAAGGCGAAAATTCTAAGGCGACAATCAAAAACACTTAGGACTTTCAACATACAAAAGGAGCAATTAAGGGCTCAGTGTTTCCTCCTCAAAACAAACATATAAGCAGCACGACTCAAACACAGTTAAGGTCTTTTATTAGACAATGTCCTAAAGCAGGATATCTAAGTGAACATGCAGAAGACAAACAACCTCTTTTAGACTCAAAAGTTATACCCTAGCAGTTGACTATGGACTTTTTAAAAGCCTGTTAGGATCAGAAAACATTGAGCAATAGAAACAATTTCAGAAATGCAATTTTGAAAACGCCCTAAGGGCTAGCCTATATGCAGAATCCTGATGTCTATATTAATGCAGAAACAAAGCAGGTTTTGGAAATGAACTCCTTTAATACCTATAGGCATGATATCTAATAAGATTGAAGCAGTTTGAAAGAACTTGTTTCAGGAAATACTTAATAAAACCAATTCAGAAATGAATTAGGCGTGCTCAAGTTGATTATTTAGACTACATTAGATTAACAGACAGAATTGCGAGTAGGGCTCCTTATAGGCATGATATCTAAGTGTAACACTGAATTTAACAATTTGCAGGTATGGAAACATACATAAATACTCATTGTAACTGAATTTGGATCAGGTCTTATAGGCATGGCATCTATTATTAAACTGCTTTTAAGACATGATTGTTTGGAACCTATAAGCATGGTTTCTAAACATGACAGAATGTAAAACCTTATAGACATGGTTTCTACTTGATGAGGCACTCGAAATTAAGTAGGAAGCCCTAAGAGCATGATTTCTATTGGAAAAACAATCAGATTTAAACATGAAATCCTAGGAGCATGATAGCTACTTAGTAGAGCAAACAGATTTAAAAGCAAAGTCCTATGAGCATGATTTCTACCTGAATTACCCCATAAAATATGTATCTAGCCACTCTTTTCACTAAATACCCCAATATTTATTTACAAATTATTACAGGCCAATGAATAGATTACATAAGTAAAAATAGAAAATCAAGAAGCTATTCTATAGGGAGCCTTCAATCAGGCACATATTTCCCAAAGCCTCCAATGGCCTCATATGTCTCAGTTCCATAGACAAATCAGAGTCTAGGTGCATCAAAGTTCCCTAAAGATCTCAAGGATCACGGGCAATGCTTATACCTAGACTTAGTAACCAAGAATTGAACAAGTGCAGTGTGGAAGGGCCAGCCTCAGTATGTCAGAGTTCAGAGGGTTCTCAAGAGCATCCCAAGGTAGTACACATACTGGAAGGGACAGAACTTATTGACTAAGAGTAGAGTGAAAGTGATTTTCACAAGTTGGAAGGTTTTAGGTAAAAACTATATTAAAACAAAAGTCTTTTTGAAAGTAATTTAGTAAAGCAATAGAGACTGTTTGAAAAAGAGATTGGAGTAGTTAACAAAGTCCAAACACCTTAGGATAGGTTCATACACAGACATGAGTCATAACATCAAGGTAGGTTTAGTAGTCACAAACATGGGTAAAGAGGTTTGGGAATACATAGGACACACATAATTAAGCAAAGACCTGAGAATTAGTAGTCATACCCAGAAGCAGCTAACTAGACATAGTCACAAAATCAGACATAAAGAACAGACTCACATGCAGCGGGATAGGGATTTAGGGAACTCATGGTGGTAAACATATAACAAGTAAGAGATGATTGGTGTAGACATGCTCAAAAACAAACAAAAGGGGAAATATACTGATCTCAAGGGAGGGGAAGACATGATGACATGCTAATAATGGAACCCTCAACTACAAGTTTCACAACAAAACCACAAATAGAAGCAAACTAGAAACGAGATGAACTGAAACAATAAGAGAATCATATTGTTGTTGGAACTTTGAATTGAAACTAGGACATACCAGTAAAGAGGATAGTGAGCAAAATGAAAGAACAAGAGAATACAAATGGTTAGCCTTGGCTTGCAGTCGGCTAACTTAAAGCAGTAGCAAGTAGTACAAGAGAGAGAGCAGAAATTTTTAAGTATGGGAGATAGTTTTGAACCAAGAGTTACGTGTCTGTGCTAATGAAAGACTAGGGTATATATAGTTTGAAAGCAGGTAGTAAATAAGGTAAAAATCACAGTCCATTAGTGATTAAGGAACTTGAGATCAATCAGTCAGGAAATCAAGGTAAGCCCCCTTTAATTGAGAAGTTAACTTTGAACCGTAATAGACATATGCCAAATAAGGAAACATGCCAATCAAGGAAATATTTTCCGCATAGTACAAGTACAATATGTAATAGAGGCCAGGTTCAACACACATAAATCAAGGAAAGACTTGAGCAATCAATTAAAAGCATAATCGACCATTGAATAAGGTCAAAAAACGTTCTACAAGGTAAAAATCAGTAGGATAATCATAAAAGATTAATCACAAAGATTCAGGGATGCAAGAATAGGAGGTGACACTAATTTAGCTGCACTTTATAAGAACAAACACATGGTAAGCAAAATCAGAACCCTAAGAGGTCGAGTAGGGCAAGAATCACACATAAATTTAGGGATTCATGTAGAGCATAGTCTGAATTAGTAAGCTAAGCATGATATAGGTAGGAGAAGTGAAGAATCAGAAACATTGGTGAACCAAATAGGCAAAATCACACAATAGGCAGGGATAACCACAACTAAGAACCATAACAAACAAACGTAGGGCAAAGAATCACAGAATTATAGAAATATACAGATTACTGAACATATTATCAAAACAAAACTCAGAAACCCCAGGTTGAGGCTAAGAAATTAGGGTTTTCAACATAGACGAGTTGAAAAGGAGTAAAAGCATAGAATCGTTCGAGATATGCAGAGAATAGAAGTTAAAACATGAAGAATCGATTTAAACAAAGTGTAGAAGAAGTTCCAAAAAACCCCTAATTTTAAAAGAAAGTAAAATAAAATGAAATCGCTGATTTTTGCAAGAGAAGTTCAAGAACAGT